AGGAAGACGAAGCTATTGTGAGAACGGGGCTGGAGGACAGCAAATCATAGCTAATTTTGAAGCACACGCATTTATCTTGCGCCACATGTTGGCAATCCAAAGAGCATCCGAGCTGCTCCTCAGCTCGGTCCCACTTGGGCCACCACACACACACACACACACACACACACACACACACACACACACACACGCATAGAGACGCACACAATATTACTTTAAGCGCTTCACATGGCGCGTAGTCTACTTTTGAGTGCACGGCCAAAAAGGAAAAGGCGGAGAGAAAGCCAACCAAAAAAGAAAACAGCCATAAAATAGCAAAACTAACGAACTAAAAAAGCGCAAAGCGTAACAAAAACAAGGCAAGACATCGACAACAACAAACAAAGCAAAACCAAACGGAACGAAACGAAACAAAACGAAGAAAAAAGGGTTACTCCTTTTCATCGTAAGGATACTTGGGCTGGCTGACAGGCTAGCTAGCCAGTATACCCGTCGCCACCACCACCACCACCACCACCGCAGCCACCTCCTGCGTGTCCATCAAGGGATTTCCCTTCAATTAGGATTAATACTCAAGATACCAAAGAGCAGTGGAACGAACAGCGAATGGAGTTCTCGCCAAACGAAAAATGCTGGCCATGCGACTACTGCGCTTAACTAGGGTAATGTGTTATGCTCATGTGTGGGTGTGTGTGTGTGTGTGTGTGTGTGTGTCCGACAAAAACAAAACCAAATGCAATAAACCGGTAGGGTTCGGCCCGAAATACCACTAGTCCCTCCATTCCACTCCACTCCCCTCCCCTCCCATCCCCCTACCCTCCCCAGTACTAACCAAATGGTGCACAATTGAGGCATTATTAGTAAAGTAGTTTTACACTTTTGCATACCCGGGAAAATGGCAGCTCGGCAAGAATGCTTTGCTCTGCTCTGCTCTGCTCTCAAAGTCAACATTTTGAGTTTTCTAGTTGTTGTTGTTGTTGCTGCTGCTTTTGTTGCTTGCCTTGCTATCTTGACTTTGATGAGGGCCGATTCGGAATGCGTTCGTTGGGGCTAAGTTTTTAGGTTTAAATTGCTTGAAAGTACAATTTATCACAATTGGCAATTGGACTGTATTGTGTCTATATGTATATATGTGTGTGTGTGTGTGTGCTTGACCGACTTTCTAACTGGAACTGACCGGTTTTGACTGCCAGACTTCAGTTTGGGGCTTGTTTTTTATGCTTAACGGTGTCAAAATGAGTTTTCTACGTTTCTGGCCACCTTTTCTGCTCGCAGATGAAATTTCTTCTCTACCGCACTCTTTCGCTCCCCGTACGCCTATGCTCTGTTCGTCCCGCTTGCGCTCAATGTGTTTATTTCTGGAGATTGGGTCATTTAAACTTTCTTGACAGCTTTGTGGTTGAAAATTTGCTGAAAAGTTTTGTTTGTCCGCCCAATATGCCCGTACATATGTACTATACATACCTACATCCACATCTCTATATGGGCTGGCACAAACTTTTCCGCACAATAGTTCTGTTGATTTTGTTTCATTGTTCATCCTTATTTTTGGTAGTTGAGGTACTGTACAATGGCCGCACAGCTGCATTGAATATTATCGATAATTTGTTTTGCTGCCTATTGCTGATTTCAAAATTGAAGTTGAAGTGGGAGGAGTAACCTACATACATACTAGAATACTATGTAGGCATATGCTCGTAAAAAGTTAACAATTGGAAATAATTCAGTAATGAACAAATTGAACTTTATTTTTATCCACCTGCAACTTAATTTAATTAATTAATGTGACGGCTAGGCTTTTTGTTAACTCCTAAATTGTTTAGTTGCATATTCCGTATAGAGAATTTTTTATTTGAAACAAAGATATGCTGACCTGTTTTGAGAGAACTAGTTTTCATAAAGATTCGTTTCTTTTCTGAATATAAACAGAGCTGCTGATTCTTTTAATTTGAAGATTACTCCTTCGCGTCATTGAAAAAAACTCAGAAAACCAATTTCTTTTCAAAGTTCCACATTCCTAAAGAATACAGTATTCCTTAAAGACTTGATTCTTTGAGGCCAAATTGGGTTTACTTGTATACATATTTTTGTGTACAATTGTATGTACAAAAAGAACTATAATTTCTTCTATTAGCAGCACACTCTAATGTGGGATTTAAGAAAGCAGGAAATAGGACTTGAATTTCGAGAATTTCGAATTTCAATAAAACATTTAGCCAATCAATTAATAAATTAATTACACACAGAACATAGCTACAAATATTTGTAATGTTATTTGATTTGAGTCGAAAAATATGAATAAGATATGAAAAAAGTAAAAACAAAAATCCATCAAAACTAGTTAATATCTAATGAAAAATTGAACTCGGAAGAATGTTACTTGGACGGCGATTCACAGCACAATGTATAGTCAGAGAAAGCTTACAAATACACTTTTGTGAATTCAAAAAAAAAAAAATACATATATATATATAAAAGTAAACTAATTAAATTATAATTATCCGTATTTGTATTGCCATAGAGACTTTTCATATGGAGTCTCAGCTATTTAGCGCATCCCACTCCGAAATGGGATATACGAATTTTTTCGCTTGCCGAACAATGCCTTAAGCCTTCAGACAAAAGCCAAATGGCAGCCCAAGTATTTGCTCATTGTTCCCCACACCTGGCAATGCCAATTTCATAAACTTGCCTTGAAAGGCCCACCCTTCGCGGCATGCCCCTCTCGAGCGCCCGCAGCGATAAACGCTCGGAATGTTGCCACAATGTTGGCAAAATATGCAAATTTAATATGATTTTAATTTGGCCAAGCGACACAACACAAAAGTATTTTTTATAGAGCCAAACAAACCCCTTAGCAGTCGCTTTCGCAGTCGCAGTCTCAGTCGTCGTCCTTCCCCAGCCTTTTGCCATTCACTCATATCCGACAAAACTGTTGAATATGCGGCACAGATTCAACACACGACGAGGCAAGTTGGCGACCGCTGTGGCGGCAGCAACATGGCGCTGTCGTCAAACTATTTGAAAATGAGGAATGAGCAATGAGGAGCGAGGCAGATTGGTGGAGTTGGTGGAGTTGGGCGAAGAAAAGAAAAAGTAACCGAGCAATCCGAACGCTTGCCTTGTCCCCATCCTTATCCTTATCCTTGTCCTCGTCCTCGCCCTCGTCGCCATCCTTTGTGCGTCCTTTTGCATACTTTTGTGTTCGCTGTTCATGCATTCATGCGCCTGGCCTTTTGTGTGCCCGTGTCGCGTATGCCTCGTATTCATATTCACGTGTAGATTTTATTAAACATATGAATTCATTATGTAAATGCTGTTTGGGTAGCGAACAAGATGACGACGGCGACGACGACGACGATGACGATGACGATGATGATGACGACGACGACGACGATGAGGACGAAAGAAAATTGTATGAAAATCGTTGTCGTGTCGTTGCCGTCCATTCGCTCATTGCTGTGTTTTGTTGTTGTTCTCGTACTTCATTTTCCATGCATAGTTGTATGAGCGATGCGACAACCGGCAACGTTGGGTTAATGGGTTATGTGCTGTGATTTTCGAAAAGCCACCAGCACCAGCAGCAGTCCCACTTTTGGGTCCTTTGTTGATTTTTATGTAAAGCGCAAATTGATTTGCCATTGGCTTCTCAGAACGGGTCGGAGAGGGTGGATGCTGATGCTGAATGCTGAATGCTGCGTGCTGGATGCTGGATGCTGGTTGCTGGATGGTCGAAGCAAACGGAAGTAGCGATAAAGGAAATTTATTGAAATTTCCAAGTGAACTCTTTTTATTTGATCAGCAGCTGCAATAGCAACAGCGGCGGCAACGGCAGCGATTTTTATTTAATGTACTCGTCTGCATCTTTGTGTGTTTGCTTTTTGTGAATGCATGCATAATTGGATTCCATTTGTTTATTTCTCTTTGCAGGTGAGTCCTCCTCATTGCCACAAGAACTGAACACTCGCACACCTACAAGTAGTACTAGCAAGTAAGTGAAAATTCAATGAAACTGTTCGCGACTGCTCTTTTCTTCATTTATACGATGACTTGCATCTTAAATAGCTTGAATATGCATCTGAATTTTTACCAAACCAGGCAGATAACGCTACTAATAGTGCCTTAAAGAGCGCTTGATTTAATTCAATAAAAGGGGCACAAATACAAAAAATAAGACGAAGATATTCCATTCACTATCGCGCTTTTTTTTTATCAAGTCTAAGACTTTTTCAAAATCACTTATTGGTAGATTAATTAGTTATACTGCCCAAATCTGATTAAACATAATTATTTACTCAAGAATAATTTATTTGTGCTATCGTACAATATTTTTTATATATAAAGTATAAACACCTCATATCATACTTGTATTACTAATATAACAAAACCAAAAAAAGTGGAAATTTAAAATATACACAATTTTTAGGAATACATGTACGAGGATTTATCATTCGCAATACTTAAAGAAGCTAGCGCCCCAACACGATTTTTTATTTCTACAGTTACTCAATCGAATTATTCATGATGCATTCAATTTTCAATTGTGGCTTTAAAGCACTCGAATTATTGAATAACATGGAAGTTACGAATATATTGTGAGGCAAGCCCGTAGCTTCAATCTCTCCCGACCTTAGTACAATTGTCTTAAAAAGGTTGTGGAAAGTAACGCATATTACTTGCAATCAGCAGATCTTGACCTTCATTTATACAGGTCTCTGAAGTGTTAGTAAAAATGTTAGACTTATTGGAGCTCTCATAACTAATCAGTAGATAAAACGGGCAGCAAGATGCCTTCAACTATGGGTATTGAATGAACATTTTCCATCAATTCAAAGATCTATTACGAATGAATCATAGAAGCAATCATACAGGATGCACAGAAGAAAAGCAAATTACTTTGAGTCATAAATTGAATGTAACAAATGCATATTACTTCCAATCATCATGTGCTGATCTTGACTCGTGCAGGTCTCTAATACATAAAAAAAATACGAGACTAATTGAAGAAGCAGACAGTATTCAATTATAATAATTATAAATTATATACCATATTCCATGTGATTATAGCATGGAGTTTTGGCTATTATCGAGTTAGTTCTATGTACTTTGTTAACAAATGAATAGCATTTGAACACCGTTCATAAACGTTGCTTTAAAAATGATTGCAAATACTACTGTACTCACGCTTTCTTTTAATTTATCTAGTCTTGGTGTGCTCCCTAAATTTCAAAACTAGCATTATCTTTAATCTTGTGGTTCACCCCACGGCTGACTTTGGACGTGAAGTACTTCCCTTGGCGTTTTCATCCATTTCTAATGTTGCCTTCGATATGAAGTCCCGATTGAAATACACATCCGTGTAGATGTCTGGGTAGATGTCTGTGGAACCCTGGAATGCCACGGCAATGCCGCACACCTCGTTCTCATAGACCAGTGGGTCGCCCGAGTCGCCATAGCCGAGGGATTTCCCGTTCGGTGCTGTGACGCAGATCACGCCCTCCGGCACATGCTCGAAGGTCTGGTTGAGCAGGCTCACGCACTTATCGCGCGCCAGCACGGGCACCTTATGGTTGCGTATCGGTTCCTTCATGTTGAGGGAACTCCAGCCGGCCATGTGCATGTCTACAGCGTCTGGATGCCGCTGCGTGCAGACGGTCATGTAGCCAATGCGCCTGTTGGGCGCCAACGGATCCTTTAGGCGGAGCAGCGCAATATCGTGCGTCACGTTGTAGGGCGAGTATTGGGAATGGCGTTGTAACTCCCTGAGGGGTAGACCAATGAACGTATCCACCAGCTGTGTCTCGCCGGCTCGCACTGTGATCCGATTTAGCTGGAATGCCTGGCGGAAACAGTGGGCGGCGGTAAGCACGAGTCGGGCACTGATCAAGGAGCCAGCGCACACATACTTCGGATCATAGATCTGCACTACAAAATTAAAGTTGGGCGGCTTGTCCACATGTTTGTTGGCAGCGCCCGATGATATGAAAAGTGCCAGCCACAAGAGACCCGACATAGCACTGGACTCGAACAACAACAACTAATTGGCCAGCACTGTTCTGCTCGACGAGCATGATTGTTTAAGGCATGACTAACATGGCATGCCAATCGCCATTGGCTGCACTTTCGGGGGCTACGGGCGAAGCCAACCACTGTAACGGGTTACGTATATAATCCAGGCTAGATGGTGGGCATAGGAGAGAGCGCACGCGAAATTTTTCCGGCTCTGGCTCGTCGGCAAGTGGGGTGGTGATCTTGCTTCTCGCCTATGGTTTGCCTATACATATATATTTCTTTAAAAAAAAGATGCGTGCAGACAAGCGGAAAAGTTGCGGTAATACACACACAGGATAGTAAGAGGGAAAACAAACATAAAACGAAAATTGCGACCCTCAGGTGTTAATGAGGTGAACTGCGACCCTCAGGTGTTATTGAGGTGAACTGCCCTCCCTACCATGGTCATTCCTTACCAAAAAAATAAGGACTAACTATTAGAATGACCCCTAAAATTTCCGGGAGACCTACAGGGGCGGCATGACTAGCATTGATCAAAAGAAGTTAAGTTAAAACATTATAAAATATAATTTATTCACAAAAAAAACGAACGTGGAAAAATATGAAGTGCATGACAACCAATTATAAATAACAATTAAATAGGTATAATATAAATGAAATTAAATGTGTATGTATATGAATGCTTAAAATATATAGATAAAAGGTAATAAAAAAAATGAATATGAAAAATAAATAGAATTCAAAAATGATTTATAAAGGTATAACCAAAATGAAAAATATACATTCTTATGAATTATTAAATTAGAAAAAAAACTTTCGGCATGGAAACAAAATGGCAGTAGAAAAATGATGCAAGAAAAAAGAATTGAATCAGTTAAGCTAAGTAATGAAACTATATGTTCTGAGTTTTGCCTCTTTAGTTGAGTTTTTTTTTTTTTTTGTTACGTGATTCGCAAAAAAAATAATAACAAAAAAAAATAATTTGCAAAAAAAATAACTTACTTGGCGTTATCCATCGCTGAAAGTACTTTCCCGATGAGACCGCTGCTGAAAAGGAAAATCTTAGATGATGGGAATACAATCCAACCATCTGTGTGGACACAAAACAGAATTTCGTTTCTTTTTCTTCTGCTGTACTAAAAAAAAACTCACTCGAAAGAAAACACTCAACAAAACATACAAAAAAAACGGTACTCCTCTTCCTCTTCAATATTCGAAGATACGGCCTCTCTTCGGATTTCGAGAACCAAGATAAACTAATAATTAAAATTCGGCCATGTGTTTCCCTATGCCTTCACAAAGTAAAATTAATGTCATCGAACAATGTAATATAAATGGTCTGAACCAAGATTAACAGTAAAAAAAAACCGTATGACTAAATAGAACTTTAAATATAAATATAATGAAAATTTAACCTATGGAGAAGTTGATTCTGGCTGGCCATTATATCGTTTTTTTTTCCAACAACCAAAAATTTAGCCACTACTGCCTTTTCCCTTTGCTCAGGGCCACACGTCTTAGCTGCACTCAACCTTTTTATTTAAACCAAACACAACAATGAAGCCGACGCGGGTAAAATTTAGCAGCGTGGATACGACGGCGCTGGTAGCTGCTTCGCGTACGATAGAAGACTGAGTTGCACTCAGGTGGGTCGGACGATCGCCTGCGGTTGTTCTGCTGCGTCGAACTTAGGGTCCAAAACTTGAGTGATTTCGTCTTTTAGAATTTTAATGCTGCTGGCGGCTGCCTTTTATTGCATATGCCAATGCAATGGACTGCTCTTTGGTTTCAGAAACCCTCCAATACGATCAAGGGCTGGCATCCAGCGAAAATAGCTCAATATTATCACTGGCCTTTGTGTGGGCCTTTGTTTTATTTTTACTTTTTTTTTATAAAACCAATCTGGATACGCTCTTTTTGGCGACTTTAAAATTTTTCTTCGACTCGGATATAAAAAAACTTTGAACTGCAATTTGCACACGTCTGCTCTCGGCCAAGTATCACCAGAAAAAGAAAGCATCTGACGCCTTGGACCAGGCGGGAACCTTTTTACAGAGGCGGTAGGTCAGCGAGGTGAAAGTAGCCATTTTCGGCGAAAGTGACACTTGCACCTGTTAAGCAAGGAGTTACCCTATTGACCTGCTTGCGCCTTTCCATCATACGACCAAGAGGTGGCGCTAAGAAAAATTACGATATTCGCCTATTAAACTGATTTAACAAAACAGTTGCTGCTGCAAGCGTTACAAATGCCCCCCACCAAAATCAGACTTGGTGGTTTTCTAAAAAAAACATCAAGGCTGATCACACCTAAGCTTGAAGCAGCTATTGCTTTAAGTCTTTTGCGTGATATTTGCCAACAAATCGACCCTGGAGATCCTCCAGCTCGTAATAGCAATTGCCAATTTTACGTCGAACACGGGCTTTGATATAGGCAGGTCCCAATTTTGAGTTATAGCCAGCTTGAAAATTACTCTGTCGAAAATTTCTCCGGTAAATTTCCTGACCTACCCTATACGAAACTGCTCTTGAGCGTAAATTGTAATTGCGCTCATTTTTCTCATTTTGTTTTCGCATTACCTCGCATGCTTTGCTTCGTATAAGTTCGAGAGAATCTTCCTTGCTATAAACAGCTGCTTTATCTTCTAGCAATTTTAAGTGTCTCAACAATTTGTAGGTTGAACCCGAATTTAAAAATTGTTGACCGAACACCATATAATATGGAGTAGCACCAATTCCGGAATGAACTGCTGACCTTAAAGCACAACTTATACTGCTCAAATGCTCGTCCCAGTCTTTTTGATCTGACCTTATATAAGAACGAATAGCAGCAATAATTGAGCGATTTACACGCTCAGACGCATTAGCCTGTGGCGAATATACAGCTGTCAATGTATGAACAACTTGATTGTCCCGAAGCAACTTTTGAAAAGCTTCAGCCTTAAATTGCGAACCATTGTCTGAAACAACTGTCTCTGGAACTCCAAATGTGTGGAAAAGCTCCTGTTGCATATATTTCACGACAACATCTGCAGTCAGTTTTTTCACTGCTTTAAGAAAAACGAACTTGGTGTAGTGGTCCATAACAATAAAAATACCAATATTTCCACTACGAGAACGAGGATACGGGCCTAAGAAATCAATATACAACCTTTGAAAGAATCTCTGTGATTCTGGGGACTTTCCAATTGGCGGACGCTGAACTGTATTTGGCGCTTTAGTCGTTTTACATGTTTCGCAAGAATTTATGTAACATTTCACATCGTTGACTAAGCCTGGCCAATAATAATACCTTCGTATCCTTTCCAAAGTTTTATGCACTCCACCGTGAGAAGCTAACGGGTGGTCATGTGCGTTTTTCAAAACCTCTGAAACTAATTCCTTAGGAATCCATAACTTCCAACCAAAAGAATCATGCAACTGGTCTCCCGTTGCATGGTCTGATCTACGGTACACAAAATTTTCAACCACTTTAACATCGGGTAATTTGTCTGCATTTGCCTTAACGCGTTCCATGAGCTCAGTATAGTCATCGGACTTAAAAAATTTAGATTCCAAGTCGACTAACAAACCATTACTGGACTCTATCGCAGCTATTTCGTCATCGTGCACCCTAGACAAAGCATCTGGAACAATATTCAATCTACCGCTTCGATGTTCAATTTTAAATCTAAAACCTTGAAGTTTTAGTGCCCATCGAGCAAGACGAGAATGTAAGTCTTGTTGTGACATGAGCCACTTTAAGGACGCATGATCGGTTATCACCGTGAATTCGTGACCTTCAACATAAGCACGAAAACGCTTAATGCATACTAAAGCTGCTAAACATTCTTGCTCAGTTACAGTATAATTTTTTTGAGCCTTGTTAAGTTTTTTCGAAACAAAAGCTATGGGATATTCATCTCCATCTTCAGTCTTTTGAACCAAGACACCTCCGACTCCAGTTTTGCTAGCGTCACAGTGTATAAAAAAGGGCTTGCTGAAATCGGGACTGCGTAGCACTGGTGCTAAGCAAAGCAACTGCTTTAATTTTACAAATGCTTGTTCACCCTCTGGAGTCATAATGAATTTCTGTCTGGGCTTTAACAGATCTGTAAGTGGAGCAGATATTGCGGCAAAATTGCTAATAAACTTGCGGTACCATCCAACCATTCCCAAGAAACTCCTTAGAGCTTTGAGTGTACGAGGAATTGGAAAATCTGTCATTGCTGAAATTTTTTCTGGGTCTGTACGAATGACACCTTCACCTATAATATGTCCTAAATATTTAACCGAGCGCATGCAAAATTTGCTCTTTTCTACGTTTAGTGTTAAACCAGCAGATTTGATTCGCTCAGCAACTTGAGTCAAAACCTTTAAGTGCGACTCAAAACTATTCGACACAATTAACAAGTCGTCCAAATAAACAAATACCTCATTTCTGAGCGATGGTGGAATAACTTTATCCATTAGACGAGTCATTGTTGCGGCAGCATTGGTCAAACCAAATGGCATGACTTTATACTGGTAAAGCGGCCTACCCGGTATCGTAAATGCTGTTTTATCTCGCGACGAAACATCTAACGGAATTTGCCAGTAGGCATCTTTCAAATCTAGACTTGATATAAACATTGCTTTTGGCAAACGGCTTAAAATGCCATCAATTTGTGGAAGCGGATACGCGTCTTTTCGCGATACAGCATTGACTTTTCTGCTATCCAAACAAATACGAAATTTTCCTGGCTTTTGTACCAACACAACTGGCGAAGACCAAGCACTGTCTGACTCTTCTATAACTCCTTGCTCAAGCATGCGATCAATCTCAGCATATAGAAGTTTTTCTTGTGCCGGAGAAATAGGAAAATGACGCTGTTTAATTGGTTTTGCATCACCAACGTCAATTATGTGCGATATGAGTGAAGTCTTGCCAAGACCAGAAACTACAAATGAAGGAAATTTGTCAATTACTGCCTGAAGGCTTTCCTTTTGTAAACCCAATAAGTTGTGAGAATCTGATGACAGTTC